GTTCTCAAATAATCATTCATCTCTCTCTTTCTCTCTCTCTCTCTCTCTCTATATATATATATATATATATATATATATATATATATATATATATATATAAAATAACTGAAACATCCCAAAATACGACCCAAAAATTTTTGTTTAACAATTGCTAAAAACACTATAATAATATCATAAAATAAAACTCGTACGTTAATATCTCAAAACAGTAGCAAAGTGTTATGAAGAACTATATAAAAACTGTATCAAATCACATTTATGAAAAACTAAAAATATCTCTCAGGACAACTGAAACTGTGGTGTATGCGATGCCATCAACCCGAGCTCTTTCCTTTGCTTGCAGAAGTACCTGAAACCAAAGCTGAAACTGTAAGCACGAAGCTTAGTGAGCTCCCCCAAACTACCACAAACCATACAATACATATAAAGCACATATTGGGCCTTGCCCACTGCATCGGACCGAGTCCGCACTAACTGGGGCCTTGCCCCCTGCATCGGACCAAAGTTCGGAAACTGACTGGGACCTTGTCCCCTGCATCGCACCGAAGTCCGGACTAACTGGGGCCTTGCCCCCTGCATCGGACCAAAGTTCGGAAACTGACTGGGACCTTGTCCCCTGCATCGGACCGAAGTCCGAACTAACTGGGGCCTTGCCCCTTGCATCGGATCGAAGTCCGGAAACTGACTGAACATAGCATAGCATAACATATCAACTAGCATAAACACATATACAGCATACTGCATCAGGTCGTTGCTCGAAACACATAATACATAACACATAACACATAAATCTTGTCTGAGCCACGAAGGCATCAAACATACTAACTACTGCATCGGACCGAAGTCCGGAAACTACTGCTAACTGAACGGGTTGGCATTGTGGCCTTAGACCCGTTCCTACTGGAAGGAAACTCACCTCGTGATCTTGTTGCTGAGTGTATGGCTCTGGAAGCTATCTGCTGCTGCTCCGGTATCTCCCCGACTACAATTCCACAAATACACTCAATTAAATGCTAATAACTGCATTGGGGTAAAATGACTCTTTTACCCCTAGCTAAAGTCAACTCTCCTGGTCAAAGTCAACTCTCTTGGTCAAAGTCAACTTACAGTTGACCTGACTCGCCGAGTTGGGTTGCCAACTCGCCGAGTCCCTACTCTCATTCCTCGACCCTGCTCGCTGCTACTCGTCGAGTATGGCATAAACTCGACGAGTTCCCATTCGATTCTAAAACTCAGGCTATTTGCATCCGACTCGCCGAGTTGTATGAACAACTCGACGAGTTGTTCTTGAATCTAAGAAGATTGTCTTAGACTCGCCGAGTTGTATGAACAACTCGTCGAGTCCCTCCATTACTAAGTCTAACCTCCGACTCACTGAGTCCATTCTACTACTCACTGGTCCCCACTCGGAATCACGCAAAGGGGAAAGATCGAGGACTCGCGACTCGACTAGCCGAGTCCGAAGAACGAATCACCGAGTCACATGCATGCAGTTACTAGAAACTCAATTCTGCTCAAAACCACTGCATACAATTTATAGATCTGAGTTTCTAAGGTTGGTTTACCACGTAAAGTTTCCAACTTTACGTGTACATATGCATGAAAAAGGATATAAAGGCTAAAAAGGCACTTAGAAGAGTAGATCTAGGGCTATCATGCAAAATGGCTCCATAAAGGTGATAGATCTATGTTTTTGGAACTGAAACATGGCTAGATCCGAAGGCTAATCAATCTAATGTGATCTCTCTACTATGAACAAGCTAAGGAATGGATAAAATGGGCTAAATATGCTTATGAAAGAGAATCAATCATAGAAACAGAAGGAATCTGATTATTACCTCAATAAACTCTGAAATGGGTGCAAGACCTTGGATCTTCTTCTTCTCCTTTGGATCTAGCCTCCTTCTTCTCTTTAAAACTTCAAGATTCATACAAGAAATGCTCAAATACTCAAGGGAATGGTTAGGGTTTGCTAAATGATACTATGAGGGTGAAGGAGACGAGTTTGGGGCTCATATGATGGTTTAAATAGGGTGCAAACCCAGGGATTTAGGGTTTCTACCTGGCAGGCGGACTCGTCGAGTCCCGAATATGGACTCGCCGAGTCGCCAAGCTAAACGCTGCTCAAGATCCCGTCTCTACTCGACGAGTCGGGCAATAGACTCGCCGAGTCCCTCTGCAAACTTCTAAATAAATAATATAAAAACAACATACCATAGACGGGTCGTTACAATAACAGTGGCACAAAAAATTTTGGAGAGTTTTCCAAAACAGCTTCCAATTTATTTCGATTTTGCTATAATAAACACACAAAAATCATAAAATCACCTTAATCTGTTTAAAAACCAAGTTTTATACTTTTGCCAGATTATATTTGATAAATAACAATGTTGCAAAAAGTTTCGAGAATTCTCTTCACTATTTAGTATTTTTCATGAGTTTGTGTTGGTTGGAGATATTAAATAAAGGAAAAATAATTAAACACATCAAAAATTTAAAAAAAAAAAAAAAATTGGCAGACCTTCATTATATTTGGAATGAAAATATAGAGTTTGAAGATTTTTGGAAACTGTTTGATTATATGTTGGGTTTTTCTTAGTTAAAACACCTTTGAAAATATTAAAATGCTCTACAATTAATAATACAAAATTTGGAAAATACCACCTAAAATTTGTCTTTGAACAACATGAGATACAAAATTCCATCATTTCAGAAAAACTTGTCACCAAGTAATTAAAACCCAATTCTTAAAGTAAATTTTGGCATTTCTCTATATGTAGACAATTGTATATTAGTATTAGATTTGTGACATAAAAACTCATTAGAGTGTGTTGTTATCATAGAATCCCGATACTAAGATGTGTTGGTGTATCTCGAGGCATCATTTTAAACTTTGAAGCATCGTGAGTATTCACACCTCCCTCTATTTTTGGTTTTTAAATGTTTTTGGGTGGAAAAGCATATCATAAACTATTTATGTTCATTTTATTTATTTTGACTCTTATTAAACATGGTTGTTATATTTTGCATGTATGTGTATGTTACTTTAATTAATGACGCCTGTATCGCAGTTAAGTCCCTCGAAACATTTAACACAACTCATTAACTCTTTTGATCCTATGTTCATTATGGATAATGCTATTAGGAGGTAGACAACTCCTCATCGCACGATTCGCTTGAGTGCATTTTACCATATTGTATACACTATATTTAGGATACACATAGTAGTCAATAGGGCACGATTCAGTCATTAGGCTTGGGTTGTTAACTCATGAATGGAAACTTGATGCATATACGAATCTTACATTGCATTTTAGCAATGAAACTTATATACTCATTTTAACAACGAAACTTGTATAGTCATTTTAACAAGGAAACTTATTTACTTATTTTAGCTACGGAGCTTATTTACTCATTTTAGCAATGTAATTTTATTTATGTAAATTTCTATCAAAACTTTGATTATGATTAACGAAACCAATATTTTTGTAAACCTGTGAACTCACCAACTATTTTATAGTTGACGCTCGTTTTACATGTTTTTTCAGGAATTATTGAGTAAGTGGCACATAGAGACATATCACTTGGAGGAGCATTCGCATGTATGATTCTTTTTATATGTTGTAATTACTTTTGAAAGATATTCAAACTTAATGTAAATTGTAAAGTTTTTAATACTATGGTTGATGATGTCTTTTAACTTTTCCTATGAAACCCACTGTATTGTCGCGTCCCGTGTTTCTGCTTTAGTGGAGTGTGAAAGTGTGTGAGGATAGTGAATGTAGATTTCAATAGGGATCGAACTCCCCATTCTATTGAGTGCCATATCATCAACCTATAGTGAAAATTTTGAATTTAATGAGATTCAACTCCCCAACAACTCTCTATTCAACTAACATTAGAGATGACGTTACACCCATTAAATATTTTGAGAAATTACTGGATATAATCAAGTTTTGGGGGGTAATTTTAAATTTTAGACATGAAAAGGGACATTTTCTGGGTATAGACATACATTCCGCGGAGGACCCTCTGCGGACCTCCGCGGAACAAAGATTCCTCCGTGGAGAGGGGTACTTTCGTAACTTCACCCTCTCCTCTTTGGCAAAAATGGTTCCCCCTCTTTGGGCCCCCTCTGGTCCCCCGAATCCTCTTTGACTTTGAACGACTCTCTGCATCGGTGCCCCTCTTTGGTCCCCTACCGATGTTTTCGATCTTTTTCCGACGAAGACTTCACTCTCGGTGACAACGACATCAAACGACGTCATTTCCGAGCGCAATTGACCCGAAACAGCAAAGCCGGCACCGATGGATCGCAATTTCCCCAATTTTTTTCTGATGGATACGACTCTTGAGTATTTCTCACATTCCCCTCTTTTGATTAGTGTCGTATTTATTATTCAAATTGTACGAAAATCCAATTAATTACCTTGAATATATATACAGATTTAGATTTGGGATTTTGTAGATTTTAGGATTAACAGGAAGTCGATTTTGGAAAGATCCATTCGGCAGAGAGGTACGTCATTCCACAAAGCATCCTCCGCGGAATGATGTATCTCTCCGCGGAATGAGTTAAACACCTAAAAATTTGAGTCTCCGCGGAGATGTAGGTCACTCCGCAGAGGGGTCTCCGTGAAATGACGTGAATTTGCTTTTTCGAAATAAAAAAATTATGCCCTTTTATATGAGGTATTTATTAGTATATAAAAAGTACGTTGCTATTTATTTCATAAACCAAATTAAAAAAGTAATTTTCAAACCTTGTTTTTATTTTCAATTACTAACGTTTTATATGAAATTAAATGTATATGTTTTTGTAGCACGATGATCTCAATCAAAAAGCCGATTTAACTTTAAAAGGCGTGGTGGGTACGATCATTAAAGACTATTTTTTGCGCCTAACACAATCACAACGACTATTATTTGAAGTTTCATCGTTTAGAAAATACTTATGAATACATATCCTACATAGTGACCCCTTACTTGTGCATTTGATGATGTTGCATGAAGTAAGGTCTCAACAAGTGTTTGAAATAGGGAGGTTTCTTTTTGAGCTAGAGGGGATTCTGTTGGATTTTGGTGAAACTGAATATATTAAGATTTGTCGTTTAAAAGTTGGTCCGTATGTGGATTTACTCCATGACGAAAAAGGTCGGTCAAATTCAAATCTTCTTACTCGGTTGTTCCCATACATTTCTGATGCATGTTTGCGGCTGAAAGATTTAGAAGACTACATTACGTTTCCGAATTATTTGTCACTTCAGGATGAAGATGTTGTAATGCTTATCCAACTTGTTTTTATGCTAAAAGGTCTCCACGGACGGGACGTTAAAATGGGTATTCCCACGGCCATATACAAGCTTGCTGATAATTTAGATGATTGGAACAGGTATTACATTTAAAGATAGTGTATAAATAAATAATAATTATTATAATAAATAAATTGAAAATTGCAGGTTTGCATAGGGACGTATTTCTGGACCTATACTTCAGGCTTGATGAGTGGAATGTTTGAGAAAATAGAAAATTTTAGACTATTCAAGCAGGCTAATCCCGAATCCAAGAAAGTACAGAAGTATATGTTGTCGGTTTTATGCTTCCGTTTAAGGTTAGTTTCTAATGCATTTAAATATTTATCATACTTTTGTTTTTTATACCATAAAAACATTGAACTTTGGTTTGTAGTATATAATAACGTCGTATTTTCATCTTTATTTCATTATCATTATCATATCATATCATATCATACTATATTATAAAAGAAGCATTTTTCCTTTCACCACGTTCATTTGAAACTCTCATGTATTTTTCCTTTCACCACATTAATTTCAAACTCTCATGACTTTTCAATTTCCTTCTAATAATAATAATTATAAGTTGATTAATAAGGTTAAATAAATATCAAAGCTAAAGTGTAATCATATATAAACTAAATTTCAATATTAAAATAATATCTTTACTTCAACTTATAAAGTTATGTTTTTTAACTTTTAACATATTATACTTAATTTATTAGTTTTAATATATTGTTGGATGTTGTAACGACCCAATTTTTACATCCGAAAATTTCGTTTTAAAACATTACTTTAGAAAACATTAATAAATAAAAACATTCTTTGATCACACCATAACACAACGTAAACCATGTTTTAAAAAGTCAAACCATACAACCCATCAAAATATCAGAGTACAAATCCCAGTGAATCTCGTAAATGCGGAAACCAGAGTGTGTGCATGATGTGCCGCTACCGCGCCGGCTCCTTCCCCTTCGGTGAAGAGGTACCTGAAAACAAAATTGTAAAACGTAAGCACAAAGCTTAGTGAGTTCCCCCAACGTACCACATACCATACAAACACATAACATGCATACTGCCAGGCTATTCTGGGGTGCTTGACTACTCGGTACGGCCATTCTGGGGTGCCGACCTACCCATACGACCATTCTGGGGTGCTGTCCTACCCGTGTCAAGCCATTCTGGGGTGCTGACTACCCATGTCAAGCCATTCTGGGGTCCTGACTACCCATTGGTCCAAACAACCGATCCTCGGGGACTGGTCCCCTCCTGCTACCTCTATCGCATAACATAACAGGCCAACATACAAACATATCATCAGATACTGTCATACATTTCTTGGGGTGTCTGACTACCCTGCGGTCCTAACAACCGAACTCTACTACTATCGCATATAACGGATCATGTTGGCATATAACATATCAGGTAATAGCAAACCTAGATGATATCATAAAGACAATCATCTATCATACATCTCCTACTGGTGGGCCGGCATTATGGCCTTAGACCCACCACTACTGGAAGGTAACTCACCTCAAAGTAGCTGCTGAACTGATCGGGAACTAACTGACTGCTGCTGCTGCAATTCCCACAACATACTCAATCAAACACTGCTAACTGTCCTTTGGGTAAGATGACCATTTTACCCCTGGTCTTGCCCTAAGTCAAAGTCAGAGTCAACTTTCAGTTGACCCGACTCGTCGAGTTGGCTCTCCAACTCGTCGAGTCCCTATCCAGACGATTGTCCTGAGTCCCTGTTTCTACTCGTCGAGTTAGGCTATGACACGACGAGTTCTTCTTCTAAACTGACATTCCAGCCCTTCATCCTACTCGCCGAGTTGTATGAACAACTCGTCGAGTTCATCTTCATCCGAAGAACACTTATGCTAAGACTCGTCGAGTTGTATGAACAACTCGCCGAGTCTGTTCTTGATCTATGAAGATTACCTTGGACTCGCCGAGTCAGGGCATTGACTCGCCGAGTCCTAACATGGGTGAGTTCAGCTTCCAACTCACCGAGTCACCCCCTGTGACTCACGGCTCAAACTCGATACATCATAAAGGGACCAATTCGTGACTCGCGACAGACTCGCCGAGTCACATAACGACTCGCCGAGTCGTCGCCATGCATCCATCAAATACACCGATTTGCTCGATTCCAGTCCATGCCATTCACAGATCTGGGCTTCTAGGACACAAATCACACGTAAAGTTTCCAACTTTACGTGTAGATATTCACCAATATGGATTTTAGGCTCAAAGTGCACCAAAAGAGGTAGATCTAGGGCTTTCATGCAATATGACCCCATAAAGGCATTAGATCCAAGCTCCAGGGACTAAATCATGCCTAGATCTAAAGGCTAACAACTTATTACAACCCACAAAGCACAAACAAGCTTGGGGAAAGCTCAAGAAGGACTTATATGAAGCTAAAAGAGATACAAGCTTGAAAACAGAGGGAAAACGAGTATACCTCAAGGAAAACGTTGAGATGACACAAAGATGCCTGGCCTCCTTCTCCTCTTCTTGATCTACTCTTCTTTCTCCTCAAAATCTTCAAGAACACACCAAAACACTTCAATCTCTCAAGGAAATAAGGGTATAAACGATGTTGGGAGCTCTGGGGGTGAATGGGGCGAGTTTGGGGCGGAATGAGGGTTTAAATAGGGTGCAAACCCTTGAAATTTAGGGTTTCATCCAGCAGCGGTGACTCGCCGAGTCCAGGATATGGACTCGCCGAGTCGCCAACTTAAACGTGTCCTGAGTCTCGTCCCTACTCGGCGAGTCGGACCTATGACTCGCCGAGTCCAAGGCTAAAATGGGAAATACTCAAATAAGATTTACATACCGGAACCAGGTGCTACAAATCTCCCCCACTTATTTTAGACTTCGTCCTCGAAGTCTGCTGCTCGATCCTGAAACAGCTCGGGGTAATGCTCCATCATCTCGTCCATCGGCTCCCAAGTCCATTCCGAACCCTTGCGGTGCTGCCATTGCACCTTCACTAGTTCTACCCTCTTGTTCCTCAAAGCCTTCGACTTCCTGTCGAGTATTGCGACTGGGCGCTCAATGTAATTCAAGCTGTCATCAACCTGAATATCCTCCAACGGTACTACCGCTGAATCGTCCACTAGGCACTTCCGCAGCTGCGAAACATGGAAAGTGCTATGGATCTGACTGAGCTCGGCTGGCAGATCCAGCCTATACGCCACCTTGCCCACCCGGGCTACAACCCTGAACGGCCGATGAATCTTGGGCCCAACTTGCCCCGCTTCCTGAATCGAATGACGCCTTTCCAAGGCGACACTTTCAGGAGAACCATATCCCCGACTTGGAACTCCAAGTCGGATCGACGCTTGTCGGCGTAACTTTTCTGCCGACTCTGAGCAGTCTGAAGTCTTTTCCGAACCTGCTGGATCCTCTCGGTCGTCTCTAGCACCACCTCGGTGCTTCCCATGACTCTCTGGCCAACTTCACCCCAACATATCGGGGTTCTGCACCTCCGCCCGTACAACATCTCGAATGGTGGTCGGTCAATACTCGCGTGGTAGCTGTTGTTGTATGAGAACTCAGCCAAGGGAAGATAGGTATCCCAGCTACCACCGAAATCCAACACACACGCCCGCAACATGTCCTCCAAAGTCTGGATGGTCTGCTCACTCTGACCATCCGTCTGCGGGTGAAAGGCGGTGCTAAAATGCAATCGAGTGCCCAACTCGTCATGAAACTTCTTCCAAAATCTGGAAGTGAAACGTACATCCCTATCCGAGATCACCGATACCGGCACCCCGTGCCGCGCCACGATTCCCTGATATAGATATCGGCCAATTCTCGGCCGATATGCTCTCCTGAATCGGAATAAAGTGAGCACTCTTGGTCAGTCGGTCCACGATGACCCAAATCGAATCCACTCCACGCGCGGTCCTGGGAAGCTTTGTAATAAAATCCATGGTGATATCTTCCCATTTCCACAGTGGAATGTCCAACGGCTGCATCTTACCATGCGGTCTCTGATGTTCGGCCTTGACCTTCCTGCAGGTCAAGCACCGCTCACGTACCATGCCACATCCCGCTTCATGCAGGGCCACCAATAGTTCAGACGAGATCCCTATACATCTTCGTCGCCCCGGGATGAATAGAGAATCGGGACTTGTGCGCCTCATCCATCAAAATCTGGCGGACGCCCCCGTGATACGGCACCCACACCCTATGGTGTAGTGTCAATAGACCCCGGCTATCATAATCAAAGGAGGATACCTGACCCACCACGCGCTCGCTCTTCCGATGCTCCTCCTTGATAGCCTCCTGTTGAGCCTCCCGAATTCGCTCCAATAGGGGAGTCACTACGGTCATCCTCATGCATACGTCCCTGATCGGCGCCGCCTTGCGGCTAAGCGCATCGGCCACCACGTTGGCCTTCCCCGGGTGGTAAAGGATCTCGCAATCATAATCCTTCACCACATCCAACCACCGACGCTGCCTCATGTTCAGATTCGGCTGGTCCATGAGATACCTCAGACTCTTGTGGTCCGTGTAGATGGTACAACGAACCCCGTAGAGGTAATGTCGCCAAATCTTGAGGGCGAAGACCACGGCCCCCAACTCCAAATCGTGCGTCGGGTAGTTCGCCTCGTGGGGCTTGAGCTGCCTCGAAGCGTAGGCAATGACATGCCCCCTCGGCATCAGAACTGCGCCCAACCCCGAAATGGACGCATCACAATAAACCACAAAATCCTCTACGCCCTCAGGCAGGGCTAGGATCGGCGCCTCACACAATTTCTGTCTCAGCATCTCAAATGCAGCCTGCTGCTCGGGTCCCCACCGAAAGACCACGGCTTTCTTTGTCAGTCGTGTCAGGGGTACGGCTATCTTGGAGAAATCTTGGATAAATCTCCGATAGTAGCCCGCTAATCCCAAGAAACTCCGAATCTCTTGATGGAGACTTCGGAACCTCCCATCTCATCACGGCCTCAACCTTGGCCGGATCGACCAGAATCCCGTTCTGGTTGACGAGGTGCCCAAGAAACTGCACCTCGCGCAGCCAGAACTCGCACTTGGAGAACTTGGCATACAAGCTCTCCCTCCTCAGGGTCTCCAACACCTCCCTCAGATGCTCCTCATGCTCCTCCTGGGTCTTGGAATAAACCAAGATGTCATCGATAAAGACTATCA